GGCGTGTAATTATTCAACAGTGTAATTATAGCAAAAATTATTTTTAACGACAAAAGTGGGTTTGTGAACAAATCTGTTATAAACTTTTAATTAACCAACGACTCTAATTTTAGTAAGTGTCACACTTTAAACATCCTCCAAGCGTCCTCGGATATAGCTCCGGGTGGTATAACATGATTTCTACATTCATGTTAAGTACTATGAGGTATTTACTCTAGAAAAAAGTCTCATTTAAGTGGTATGTAACTGCAACTGTAGAGCAGTAATCTAAATACAAGTGGTTTGCTCAACAGTTTCACCATTTATCGACACTATGAAGATAATATTGATTATTGTTACGAATCGAATTCACGAAACAAACTGTTTACTGCCAGTGCCTGCAGACATGTTTTTGCAGAATTGTGGCAAATTTGTTTTTTTACATTCCGTTACTAAATTCTATATTTACTTAAATATAGGAACTAACTATTCTTCATCGTCATCCAGCTAACTTATTTTAACCTTGTCTTATTACAATTATCGCGCATTTCAATATCCTAACATTAACAAGATTTGAGTTCAAATACCTGTGAGGATAAAAGCTATATTATGTGTGCATGTTTTTTTTCGGTTTGTCCGTGCATACATAATGCTGACGTTAGTTTAAGACTTGGAAACAGTGACTGTTTAGCCTTTTGAAAACAGTGTGTGTGGGGGGGGGGGAGGATAGCAAGAGAACATTTTGAATAGTTGGGTTTCTTGTTAGCTACGTTGGTTGAATTTAACAGGTTTTTCTTGTTTTCAACCCAAAGATGGGCCTCCTCCCCCTCCATCATTGACCACCGTCAATAAAACACTATTCTTTACCGCCAGCCCTACCTAAAACTAAGAAAAAAGATTTTTTTAAGAAAATAACAGCGTTATTATTTGTTAGTAAAAAAAACTATTGGAAAGCGGTTGGTTCAGATAAGTAGAGCTTTACAGACTCCTGTACAATACTTCCATTATGGCGTTAACTTTTATGTTAATAACGCATGTGATGGATTTTACTATAAGTACACAAAAGAGTACAATATCATATATGTGAGTTAGTTGTGAGTTTTTACAAAGTAAGCTCGGTTGGCGTGCTAACGTTTACTAGCTTTTGATCGAACACAAATATCAAAAGCATGCGTACGTTTACAATTGCTTCCAACGATATGTACATTAATATGAGCTTCATTTCTTCTCGTTGTCTATCGAGGGAGACTAAGCTCTAGACTAAGTCTCGCTGTGAAACCACAATAATCACACATGCATGTTATGATCCTTTAAAAACAATGGATTTCAAAAGAAGTTAACACTCATATTATATGTGAATATTAGTACCCCCTCCCCCCTCCAATTATCAATCGTTCAATTTTGCACATCACTCTTGGTTCATTCAATTTATTTTAAATATTGATTAATTTTCCTACAGCATTCCAAATCATCTTACAGCTCACACCAATACATTTTGCCATGGATAATTAAATTTGCAATCAGCTTTCCGTTTGGTAATTAACTGTCCGTGTCCTTTCATGTTCCAAATCCATTTGAAAGAAACATTAACACATGCAGTACTCGTATGGAACAATTTCGTTTTATAACCTGTAGCATTGATCTTTTTCTTTCAGTGAAAGCCAAACAAAATTTGCATGCATTCATCCACAAGTATTACGATATTGGTGTGTGGTAATGACGGCCATTCATCAATGCACAAAGCATTAAAAAAATTTTTTTCCTTTTATAGGTCAAATAAGGCTCGCCCCCGGTATGTGTGTTGGGGAAGGGGCACTCGTCAGCTTTTGTGAAATATGTAGATAAAGTGCAGAAATCAATAGGGGAGAAAAAAGTCACCCTGGCTAAATTAGTGAAATTTTCTATCAACTACTTAACACTACGACAGCCGTTCCCAGGAACGTAGAACACTTTCTGCTTCTTGATGGTATGTACGCCCTGTACAGAATGAGTGTAAAACTCAGGAAGAAAATTTTAAAATCAGCTTGATAAATTAGGATTTCCGAATTGATTTGCAGTTTGTTAAAATTTCGTTGTTCTTATCAAAATACATGGCAGGTAACTGACGTCATAACTGGGATTTTTAGCTTTCTGCTTTGTGTCGAGTCGAGGCGTACATCGCACCGCAGATTTTTATTGAAAGTGAGGCTTCGTCTCGAAAATTTATGTAAAAAAAGTTTAATATACAACAAATACCAGTCCTTAAAACATTATGCTGGGCTTCAATTTTTATAATACGAACACGTTTCTCGCCTGGCAAAGTATTGACTGAAATTTATTGTTAATATTTGGCAGCCATTTCGCAGATACATACCATATTCCGATAAACTATTCAAAGTCAAGAAACAATGTGCTTAAAGGATTAACCTGACCACTCGGACAATTCAAAGACAAAAACATATCAACAGTAATAATTCGTAATTACAGAAGCTTAATAGATTAAAATGGTTTAAAAAGTTTAATGGAAATCAACTTACGACGAAAAGTCTTCCCTCCATTGCGTTGAAAATTTGAAGAATATACCACATCTGCAACTTTTGGGATGAAATCACGTTTAATATAACTGCCATAATTCCTTTTCACAGTTATAAAAACAAGCAGTACTCAACTGCGCTGTGCATGATAGTTCTGGAAATGGAATAAGATTACTGGCCGCGATTAGCCATTGCAGTGTTCCTATTGGTTAGAAAATGCAATTTACTGGCTGCAATTATGGTAATCACATGCCTAATCAGATGTGCGTCAAACAAAATTTTTCAATATGTAAAATCCGTCGACGCTTATAACTAGCATCATTCAGCAGAAATCGATTCCCAAGGACCTGTAAAGGCAGTTGAAAACAATAAGTACGAATTGCGGCTACTTGCTTTGTGTTCACACGAAGAACTTCTGTTTCTTTTGTTTTAGAGGCTTATAATGACAAAGACATCGGAATTTTTATGACAATTTTCTTTTGTTCTGCTTTTTTTTCTTCTTCGAACTTATCCTTATAACTCTTTTACTTATGCTTGTGTTTTCTTATGTCGGATGCTTAGACATAATTATTTTTGCTGAGTCTTTTAATTTCCCTTTAGTCGTGTGAACCAAGAACCAAGTTTAATAATTCAACAGGTAAAACTTTACATTAAATTAGGATTATTCCAGATGTCAATACCTTGGGAATTTGGCAACGTCACGCAATCGGATCGTTCGCACATATTTGTACAATGACCGAAGTCAACAATTGTAAGCTAACTTCCAAGCATTGATATGATAGCTGAAATACATCTTGCACCTGTGCATGCACGTCATGATCATTAGCTGGCAAAAATAAAACGACAAAGAACAGCCCTTATTGATTGTTTAGGTGAAGTTGGTTGAATGCAAATGCTCTTTTGTTAACAATTTTTGGTAAAAATTTGGATCTATATTCTTTAGAAATTTCTAAACTTTATATTTAGAATATAATTACCGTTTGATGAAGCGGGCGTGGTAGCCCGAATCACCCCTGCATAAATGGTTATTTTGAAACACTTATACAAACATATATATTTTGTAAAACTATTATATGAATTTAAATTATAGAAGAGTTTGTGCAAAAATTGCTGGTTGCCATCCTTTTTCATAGCTACATAATTTCACGACAACTTAACAAAATTTGACAAAATAAGTTATACTTGCATGATATAAAATAAATGGGTTCACTACATACTATGATGACTCAATCTTGAACGTATGTTTGTGTCCGCAAGTCCGATGATGAAAAATAAGGTAACGGTCTATCCAGGTTTTAATATATTAGCTACTCTAGTAACTTGGTTTTATATTCATGTACACAAATGTTTTTGCAAACAGATGAAACAGCCCAACATAGACTGCTATATTCCAAGCAATAATTCCAGGTGGAAACTTCGAGTGCATTTTAACTGCAATCATATTTATCATTTAACCGTGACTTTACACTGTATCACAAAGGCTAAGCTCCTTTAGAGTCGACTTATATCTGTCACTTTATTATAGTTAGCACCCGCGTGTTTCGTTGGGCTGAGAAATTTACTCACCTTAATAAATGTATTTGTTGATAAAATCAGAAGAATTTGCATGGGAACGCCTAACTTTGTTGCAGGAAACAGTTTTCAAAAAGAGGTTTAGTGGAAAACATATTTCTGAGGCTTTTACCATGTTGACGAGAGTTGACTATATTGTATGCTGAGTAAGTTGGAAAAATCATTATGAGTCGCGAAACAACGTAGTGATTACAATCGAAATTATGTAGTATAAATTTAACTTCTATGAAAAATTTTCTATCGATTTGTATTTCTTTTTCAAACAAAAACATCAAAAAGCACAGTGCCTAAAAGCCTGGATAATACCAACAAAAAGCTCAACTTTTGCTTCGAAGATGGCGGGAAGTAAAATCGTTTCATTCTTGCATGAAAAAAACCTGCATAGTACAGTGCATTGCGCAGAGTCAATCAGCCACTTAATTGACTCAAACGTTTGAATGTTATGGGTAGTTTTAAAAGAAGAGCAGAATTTCATACCATTAAAACTTTATCTCTGGCCGAGGAATCATATCATTAAATGTACCTGACAGTTCTATTTTCATTTAACGAATAGATTACATTAAACAGCTGTCTGCTCAGTTATAGATACACGGGTTAGGCCGCGTCATTTGCGATAAGAACTAACAAGCGCCGCCGAGGCGAGCGATCACTTTTTGTTCTTATCACAAATGACGTCATACAGGTGTATCTTTCTCCAAACATCCAAACAGACAGCGATTTAATGTAATCTATTTGTTTTCCAAAATCAAACCAAAAAAATTGTCAAATTCAATTAGCACACAAGTTGCTTTTGCTTTCGCCATCACTTAGAACATTGAAAAAGTTAAGATTTTGTGAGAATCACGCGTGTATGACCTGTAAGACTGAAGAAAGGCTATTGGCTAGCTTAAGTCATGTGCTAAAATGTGATTGGGTGACAGAATAGATACGCAATGGTTGATCAATGGTTGTTTTTTTTCTTTTCTTTTTTCTCCATACGTCAATCGCTTCAACTTTGTCTTCAAAAAGTCTTTATTTTACAAGCGTTCTCATCTCTAGACTACAAATGAATATTCTCAGGTAAACGATGCAAAAAATATTACGTTTTCCTTACACTGAAAAGTGAAATTTTCCAGTTAGTAGGATATATTAAGTCTGGTGTGTGTGGACCTTGATTGGTCTTATCATAAATACTTGTTGTTTGTAAATCATTTTAAAAGAAGGCCAGTTATTTGTTGACACAAACCAGCCAGACTCATCAGCATTGAGTACTTGCAGCACTAGGTGGAGAAATGTCTGTCCTTAGTTCCATGTCTTGAACATTTCTGTCTTCTGGGGGTAGCTCATTGTATTCTGAAACCTCCAGCGCTTTATTGATCTCGTTACATAAGTCCGGTTGCTACACTCAAAAACAAAAACAAGAAAAGACCTAATATATATATTGAACTAAAAAAAGATATAGCTTGGCAAGCGATGACTCCAATTTTTTTCACGTATTTGTTGGAAGCCAAGTATACACCTAAAATTTGTCAACTTCTCCCTCGTCCTGAAATAACGCCAGTTTTATCTACGTTTTGCGACCCCAAAAAGTGTTCGTATATTTTCTTTCACCGTCAAAAATAAGTTAATCTTGTAACGAGATTACAATTTTGGTTCGACTTGTAACTTGCGTCACAACATATTTCTTTATACATAGAGCTGCGTGATTTTCAAAGCCAACTCACGTTTCTGTCTTGAGAAGTGAGAACTAGTCATTTCCCAGTCATGAGATCCCTGTCGAAACTATCCCGTCCTTGTATTTTTATATTTTGCTTAAGGGGTAGGGGGGGGGGCTTGCATTTTTCTCCTATTTATTTCTTTCGAAGTGAACTGCAAGCTACCAAGTAGAACAACGTGAAGAAATAAATTTGCTTCCCCCCCTTTTTCGAATCATCATTTCTGATATTAGGTTTACATTGTAAAATCACCAAAGATTACAAGAAAACGCTGCACACAACTCACGCAAGTTTAAATTTTAACTTATACAAAATACAACTGACCGTTAAATCTTCAAGAGGGTTTGCTTCGGAAAGACGTCTTTTTCTTTTAAGATAGTTCGTAGAACGAAAAAGATGATAAAAATTATTGTAATGTCAAATGTATCGCTGTGAAAGTAAAATTCTTTCGCGGATCATGGCGATGAAAGAAAATTGGATAAGTTAAAGCAAGTGAGACAGACACTGCTATACAACGTATTAAATTCTAAAAAGTGCCATACAGTGGCTTTTTTTGAACTTACCTCAATCTCCAAATTAGTGTAAAGCAAATGATAAATACAGGCAGAAGAATTATCCATAAGATCTTCAAATTTTCTTTTCACGATCATGTAAAAAGAAGTGGTGATTTCAATTAGTAAATGTGACCAATTATAATTAAACTGATTTTGCTATGGGGTGGTCGGTTTCCATTTTCTACCATTAAAAAATGGTAAAACGATGTATATATAAAGGTAAGTTACTGCCACATAAATATAAAGGCAAAAATTATGAAAAACGACAACTTTAGCAACTCAAATACAGATACGTTCATAGCAACTTAAAAAACAAATGACACGAGCTAATGATGGAAATATGAAAAGTATAAAATAACTGACAAACGCTTCTATTACTATACTGTTACTGAACTGTGCTGTATCTTTTTTCTTATAGTTTGAAGTTTTCAGAAATGTCGGTTGTAGTCGATTATTTTGTCTCCTCTTACAATAACTGCCGTTCAACCAGAAATACAACATGAAATTGTCAACTAAGATAATATCAAGTGAAACGACATCGAAATATTATTATTACCTCTTCCATGTATTACTTCATTGCTGTTTTTTGGTATGCTGGCGGCTTCAGTGTAATTGCTACAAAGTTGTCCCGCCGTACAAATAGCAACCTGTACGAAGTAGTCAGCGTTCTCTTGAATTTTTGTGATTTTCCCCTCTGTTACATTGTGAGAGTACTTCAAAATCACTCTCTTTTCCTTTTTCATCCAATATTTTATTTTCGCTTTTCGCACTACTCCGTTCAACTTCTCTTTTGGCGGAAGCTGTGTTAAGTATTCAGTAAGATAAATTATTACATGGTATGCGATTATTCCGGTGAAATGACACAATTTGTGTCTTTTCTGGCTCCGGCTTTCTTTTTCCGGCTTTGAACTATTTTTGGCGCGGTGCATTACTTTCTGCATGCATTTTCCAAAAGCAAAAGGCAAAAATTCAAATGTCTTAATCAAAAAAATCTTAGCTTATCAACCTCACTCAATTAGTCTTTATCAAGAAATATCGAATCCAGGTCTTTTTGTTCAAAAGCCGGGTCTTTTTGTACCAAAGGCAGGTCTTTTTGTACCAAAGGCAGGTCTTTTGTACAAAAGCTAGGTTTTTGTACCAAAGCCAGGTATTTTTGTTCAAAACCCGGGTCTTTTTGTGCCACGGCCAGGTCTTTTTGTACCAAAGCCAGGTATTTTTGTACAAAAGCCAGGTCGTTTTGTACAGAAAGGTATTTTTGTAACAAATCCAGGTCTTTTTCCGACAAAAGCCAGGTCTTTTTGTACAGAAGCCAGGTTTTTTTGTACCGAACCCAAGTATTTTTGTACAGAACCCAGGTTTTTTGAACAGAACCCAGGTCTTTTTGTACTGAACCCAAGTATTTTTTTACAGCCCATAGAATACCAAAAATCTCATCGGTAAAGATCTTGCACTTGGTTAATAAGAGGTTATATTAGTCATGATACATGTGCCTGTCAGTTACTGATTTTGTGTCGTAAAAAGTGATCTCACCCTTCAGGGAATCCTTAATAAAGTATTACACAAGGACTACAGGACAAGCAGGCTAAAAAGCCGCTGCCCTTTCCCAATAATTTTTTTAACAATTCTGATTTGTTAAATTTTGTTTTCAGATCCCTACTTATACCCAATCCCCCCTCCAATAAAAAATTTGCTTCACCGTACCTTTTAAACTAAACAACAAAGCAACAAAAAAATTAAGAAAATTTCTGCAAATCGATCAGGAGTATGTTAAAAAACTCGCCGAGTGAACACAAAAAATTGGCATAGCAGGATAAATGATCAGACTGGCTGCACGCACTGATATGTATATTAGACTGATAACGCATCTCTTAACGTACTATATTTTATACATGGTGCGTTATCCAGTGTAATATACATATCAGTGGCTGCACGCCCCTCGCAGAAAAGCTTTATCTGTGCGCCATAAACTAAGTAGTTTGCAACTTTGCATACTGTTGTAAAGGGCATTTATCCTGGTGATTTTATGTCTATAAATTTTAAGTAGATGTCTACGTGGATTTAATACTGTTTTAAAAGGCCTTTTAATGAATAACTTACCTTCCATTTGACCGTCACAGATCTGTTGCCATTTTCCAGGGATTCCTCTTGGCACACTGCACACTCAATTGTGGGAGGCGATGATGGAGCTAAAAAAATTATCATTTACAAAAAGGTAAATGTACTCATGCGCACAGGTATAACCAGCCGTTCATTCAGTCCTGTTGTGTAATTTTTGTATTCGCTCACTGATTAAGCAATAAAAGTCTCAAAATTCAATTGAGATGATTAAAACTTGCTTTCTGGTTTGCAGACGTGTTTCAAAAGAATAGAAACTAAGCTTAAAATAAAGTGACAGTATGGGCAACAAACAAGGGAGTATGGCGTAGGAAGTTGAATATTTGAGGGGGGGGGGATATCCATACATGATCGTTATACTTTGTAAAAAACAATGGATTTCAAAGGAACTTAAAACGACATTTCATGCATATACGAATATCTCCCTCCCAACTAACCATCTTCTCATCTCCCTTGGAACGACAGTAGGTTCACACTGCAATAAACCTCTGCGTACTCAATATTAGTCAATTGGGTTTCTGACTAACCGTTGAGTGATCTTCACTTTGCTGGATTTTTTCAGGAACCTGAGATCTGGTGACTCAAGGGTTCGAAACCTGCGTGATCATTTTCTTCATTTAATTTCAAAGCACCGCATCTGCGTAAAAACAACGCACTGCGTAAAACATATACGACATTCCTTTCACGAGAAAACATGAGCCCAACAATATTGACCTGCTCACCACTGTGTGACTTCATAGCTCAGTTGGTCAGAGCACTGCACCGGCACCGCAGAGGTCATGGGTTAGAATCCCGTTGAGTCACCTGATTTTTTCAGGTTCCTGAGACGATTGCTTAAATTGTCCAGCAAAGTGCGAAGATCATATCTTCATTTAATTTCAAACACCGCACTGCGTAAAAGAAACATTGTTGGTATATTTCCCCTTACGAAAACTTTTCTTGGAAAGGAAAATTTTCGGGATATGTGTTTTTCCAGCAATGATTTCCATTTTCCATTCATGCCAGTGTAGAAATAAAAATGGCGGCCTAACATAGACGTATATTACTTCATTTACTTATAAGAAACCGCTACTACACAAGGTTGGACGAACAAAATAAATACAAGAAAAGTTATATGACTTGTCGACCACGAATACTTTTCGAACAATTTTGTATTACTTTATGCTAATTCTTTCTAACATCCGTGACCTGATTGGCTGACTGCTAATCTTCCACTGGACGAAATACACAAAGTTGAAAAATTTCTACTTGCATTAACGTTCAATATTTTTTCCACTGGAAAATTTGATTGCATCTCTTGTACTATTTAACGCATGCACAACCTGGAAAAATCTACTTTCTATTGAAAGTTTTCATAAGTGGAAAGGGGCCTTAAGTATACAGCCCCGAGTCACACAAGTGACCATAAGCATCAACCCAACGTTAATGGAGGAGGACATATATTCATATATATCATGTTATGCCATACTGACAGTGAATTTATTTTGAAAAGAAATTAACCTGGATATTGCCTCCTCCGCCTTAATTAACGTAGGAATGATGTCAATGGAAGTGATCCCACTGTTTTTTTGCATTACTGCGATAACATCTCAATAGTTTAGAATGAGATCAGCATTTAATTATCTAACAGAAATCGTTTTTGTAAATTAAAAGTGTAACGTTTCGTCTTGACTCTCAAGACATCATCAGACAATATTGAATTACAAGTATAGAGGGATATATATATAATAGCTATTTACATAATATTAAATTACATGGTGGGATGAAAACGTGTTAGTAAATATTGGATAAGATGGTATGACGTGGGATAAGTAGAAACACGAAAAAAACAAAAACAAAACAAACAAAACACACACAATCACAAAGTATACAGAAATGAGGACGGACGAAATTAGATTAAAGCTACTGAAGGACAATGGAGTTTCCTTGGACGTTAAGAGATGGTTTCATTTTGTTGATTAAGAGGCTTTCGTGAATAAGACGCTCTTGTGAGTTTGAGCATGAAGAAAGTATTTTAAAATCCTCGAAGGTGGCGGTGTGTCCTGTGGATTTAAGGTGTGATAGTATGGAAGAATGACAGGGATGTTTAGAAGGTTTACTAGTCAAAGGGGTGATGCCCAAATGCTCTGAAATTCGAGTGTGTAGGTGGCGGGTGGTTTGAGCCACGTACGATGTGGAGCAGCATAGACACTTAAAAGAATAGACAACATTCGATTTCAGAGTTTTGGGCACTTTGTCCTTGAAAGGAAACAGGCTGGAGAGGCGTTTGGTGGATCGAAAGAAGAATCGTATTTCACAGTGTGGGAAAGCGGCACGACAAAGGCGATTGATTTGTGTGCGGATTTGGGATGAGTGTAGACCAGTAAATGGAAGGCCGAAATACAGTATTTTCTTGGGTACGGTATGGACAGGTGGTTTGGGTTGAAAGACTTTGTCAAGAAACATTTTTACACAGTGATCAAATAAGTGACAGGGAAATGAATTGGAAATAAACAATCTGCGTGCTTTTTCGATTTCAGTATGGAAATTTTCATAAGTGGAGCAAATATTAAAGAAACGATGAACTAAACATAATATTAAACTATGTTTATATGTTAGTGGGATGAAACTGTGGACATTAGTAAAAAGACCAGTGAACGTAGGTTTTCTGTATATGGACGTGAAGAACTTTCCATTAGAGCGATGAGTAGTGATGTCAAGAAATGGAAGTTTTCCATTGTGTTCGAAATCACTCGTAAACTTAATATTGGGGTGTTTGTGGTTTAAATAGGTAAGAAAGGGGTGATTGTGTGTGTTTTGTTTGTTTTTTTTGTTTCTTTCGTGTTTCTACTTATCCCACGTCATACCATCTTATCCAATATTTACTAACACGTTTTCATCCCACCATGTAATTTAATATTATGTAAATAGCTATTATATATATATCCCTCTATACTTGTAATTCAATATTGTAAATTAAAAAACGTTTAACACTTTTAATTAGAACAATCAGGCAGGTAGCCAAAACTGTAATTTGGGAGAGGGGCAATATTCATATATTCATTTTATAATTCTTAAAACACAATGGATTTCAAAAGAAACTAATACGGCACATACGAGGCATATATAAATATGCCCTCCCCAATTATCGTTCTGGCTACGTTACTGAGAACAATATGTGTATAAAAAGGCAAACCTTGCTCATTCGTGGTAATTTGTAAATTCCCAGATAAGCTGTTCTTGCTGTGACTCAAGCCGTTAAAAGAATAGACTTCTATTGTATAGTTCGTGTAAGCCCGCAACGTCGTCAGGTTGCACTTTTTCTCCCAGTTTCTTGTGTACATGTCGTCGTAGTTGAGCATTTTTTCCTAAGTAAATGTTGTATTATTGTTACTCTGCTTCATAATTTTATGATTAAGTTTATTCAAAACGGGCTATTTCATGGAGAAATGAAAGAACACAAGAGTGTTAACGATTTAATCTGAAAATGAACAGGGATACCGGAACGTCGATAGTTGGGGCGAGGGGGCAGATATTTGTAGTCACAGCTCGTATAAAATATTTGATTTCAAAAGAAAATAATCAGGCAAAACACGCATAATATATTAATATTTGCCCCACCCTCATTTATCGACGCTCTGGCGTTCCTGACAATGAACAATAATAGTGTTTTTTTTAAAGAGTCCCCTCCAAATCCTTATGTTGATTTGTGAGTAATGTATTAAAATGTTCAACAAAACATATCTTTTGTTCTTCGCAGAGGTATGATAACACATCAAAATTGATGGAATCAAAAGCGTCTCTGCGAGTCTCAAATATGTTGACAAACACGGCACTAAAGGCAGAGTGGAAAACTGCCACATGTATTCAACTTTTTGTTGTTGTTTGTTACTGATACACAATGACGCGTAAATTTTAAAAAATGTCGGAGCGATTAAAAAGGAGCAATCACGTTCGAGCGAGCTCGGTGTATAACTCGAATTAATCCTAATGCACTAAATAAATTACTTTTGGATATTTGACCTCGCCCCGTCTATCTCTGCGTCCAGGGGCACTATCCCACTCGCCTTCCCCCTTTGCACCGCAGCTAGTGACAGGTTTTCAGGTGTTATAATCGTCATGGCTAGTGCAGTCCGGGAAGGATTGCTGGTATTGTCATTGGTCAACATCATTACTCCAACACCAATAGCTTTTTAAGTATAATAAGGAACATGCTCCGAATAAAATGTCCTTGTTTAACTCAATATTTGAGATCTTCGTAAAAAGAGTTATTAAAAAGCTATTTTAATGATGTAAATGCATAAAGTCAAGATTATATATTTAATACATGACACCTAGATCTTGTGCTGTCTGTATATAAAGCATAATAAGGGAGAAAGTAAAATAAGCACATTCATAAAATGGGCCGGTAAGTGAAAAATAAACAAGTACATCAAATAAGATATACCACTGGTACATTTTCAAAATGCAAAAGAACGTGAATCATACACTATTACTTTCATAAAATGCTCTAAATATTGAAATATTTTTATCAATTTTTGGCATTCAGTCCGTCATTATTCATAATATCAGTCGATCAATTGTCCTCTATTCTTGCCGAATATATTTCTCCTCGAAAATATCTTGCTGTAGCATACACTTAGTATTGTAGATGCAATTTTAAAGCACAAAATTTGTCAAAAAAACAACAAAAAATAATTTTTTCACGTTTTTTTAACTGCCAACAAGCCAAAACAAACGTCAGTCGAGAATAAAACGATCATAAACACGTATTATTTCAGGGGGAATTTGATGACAATTTAGCTGCGTGTTTGGCTTCAATCAATCAGGGGACAAAACTATAGGAGTTATCGTTTCAGTTGTTATTGCAGTTCACTGGATAAGGCAAGGACGCCATCTTGAAAGGTGGCAAAAAGCAAAACTCAAAATAAAAACTAAGCTAAAAGGTTTAAAAACCCAGTCCTAACGAACATTTTAAAAACCGATCTGAGCTAGTCAATTACATCTATCAAAGAGACTTCTGCAATTCAATCATGAATATATGATGGTGAAAAATTATACATTTTGCTTTAAATTTATCTGTGTCGCATTATTAATTATTATTTTATAAAATTGAAAAACAAAAAATGCTTTCTTGTTTGCACTGGCTTATGCGAACCTCAGAGATGCTTGAGAGAACTCTCGATAATCGGCTTTCGCGCTCTCTCAAAGGCCTACTCGATATCAGTTTGCTTAAGCCAGTGCAAACACCGTAAATCTAGCAATATATACTTACTCTGCACTCTAGTACATTTCCACTATCTTGGTGGAAAAGAATCCAAAAACCGTTTGGATTGTCGTAAGGACAAGTTGTCCATCTCAGTATTCCTTCAGTTCTACCAGTCTGAGTAAAGGTCAAGTTCTTTGGCTGGTTTAGCGAAGGAGGTGCAACTAAAACAAAACAAAAAAAACGAGAAAGAGGAACATATTTTGAATTGTTTTTAGTTTAGCTTTTGCTGCAAACGAATTGTTCCGAACTCTGAACAATTGACAAAATTAATTGACATAAAAACGGCCAAAAAGTCTTTATTGCAGAATGTGTTGAAAAAACCGAATAGGAGATTTCGAGCAAACTTTGCTAATAAATATATAGTTATATTTAAAAAGATTTCCTTTTGTACTAATTTTTTTTTATGGACAAATTTGAAACAAAAACTGCCAATTGCAGACCTGTATTTTCCACTTCAAACAATAACTCCTTGGCATAAGAACCAGTATGAACTGCTATCATTATCTGTTCCTTATTATCCCATTCGGTCCTTGTCGATACAAAGCATTCGTCGATACCATGCAGAATGCATTCGTACTCGTCACTCGTCTCATTCCACGAACCAGATATCCTTGCATGGCGGTCTTTTTCAAAAAAATTGTTAAGATAGTCCAGCGAACTGTTTCTTTTGTAATCTGCGAACTCGTTATCTGAAATACTTTCAGATGTAAATTTTTTCCCTTCGATTGTGACAATGCAAAGTTGTATTTTGTCTTCCTTGCAATTTTGATGTTCTTGAAACTTATTTAGTGGACAAAAGTAAACACCAGACGTGATCAAGGAGGATGCATTAAGTTGTTTAATTGCCAACTGATTTAGTTTCCAAGAAACAACAAGAGCGTTGCCAACTGTTCTGGCGCTATTCTTGTAAATGAATTGCGATTCTAGAAAAATATGGATAATTGACCAATTGTAAGAATGCCAACCATGCACCATCAGTTGATTTGTTGTCTGACAGCCAATTGGCATATCAATCTCACAAAAAATAACTAGTTTAGCGCATTTCAATTGGTACAAATGGTTCGTATACCTATAAATTGACAAAAAGTTGGTCCAAGCAGTACACCATACTTGTCATGCATTGGGGCTGGTTGTGCCAAAGACAGTTAATCATAGTATAGCAAAGACTCATGCAGAGTACAGGATCTCATTAGATGAATCATCAGAATAGAAAGTGATTCCTGAGAGTGTTATAAAATAAATTTTCCCGTTTTAATTCATAATAAGAGGAGAGCAAGTTAATTTTCAACCGGCTCCTGTTAGCTTGGTGGAGAAGAACAAATATTTTGCCAATGTAAGCAGCGCGAGTGGAGAGCGCGCGTTTACGAGAGTAAAAAAAAGGTTTGTGGAGTAATTTCATTCATTTCAAGCATCGAAAATGAAAACGCTCTATAATAAAAAGTACATGCACACTAAATAGTGATAGCAGCAGTTCTCATTCCCAGAATTGCGCAACGTTCCTCGTAAGAATAACCTGATTCAACCTCTTTGACTTGTTTAGCCACACCATCTAATTTTTTTTAAGACAGCATAAACAAAGCGACTAATTTGTGCTGTGAAACCTTATCGCCACGTGCTTCAGTAAAATTTGATCACGTGGTACACCAATTGACTGAGGGACTATATGCAATCTCACATCTCACAATACAATCTACTCTGCCATTTTGCGTGAGAAAGGCTTGCATGACAAATGCTTCGTGTGTCAAAGGCCTTGCTTAACTAAAAGCATTTGATTTTTTCACAAATTTGGTAATTTTATAGATATTACTGGTCAAAAACCCGTACATGGGCATTGCCATTGCAACAGTCAGCCCCCCTGAAAACACTCCTCGCAAATTTTGGAAACTTAGTTATATAGACTATGACCCCTCCAAAAAATTTTCGTAATGCGCTCGAAGATCTTGTTGCATATATTGTAGTGTAAAACGTTGAAAGATTTATAACGTCAAAAAAAAACAATTTTCACAAAACAGATTTTAGTACAAGTTCAGATTTCAAAGTTGTTGTTAACTGAGATTTGTTGATACATTTGGTAATTTTCTAGAAAATATTGCTCAAACAAAGAAAATTCTAATAGTTGAACGGGAAATCGCATGCGTAAATACATATTAATGTAAGACATTTCGCTTATCGACATATATTTGCAACATGTTTGTCTTTTATGTTGAACAAAGCGTCAATATTTTTGCAGAACGTGTCAAACGATCACAACATTGTACACACGTCATCGTATTCTAACCATTATCTATCATAAAGTTTAATGTATAGGACATAAAGTTAAATATTACAAAGCGCAAGTAATACTGTAAGATATAAAACATGATGCTATATCGGTCATTGAAGGTTTAGGTTTGTCAGCATTCACAAAAGACATACACATTACCGAATAATTGGCAACCAAAAACTAACCTTTAGCTTCCGTGTTCAAGCACGAGAGAATTAGGCAAACGTAGACAGTTCGAACAAAATTAACAAGATGAGTCATTCATAGAGCAATCAGAATCTCTTCATCAAAGTTAAAACGATTCGAAAAATTTGAAAGTCAACTTTCGCGTGCTCACATGTAGACGGACGGGAATTCGGTATCGGTTTACATTTACAAGATTAGCGTGACTGGCTGAAGAACTAATTGAAGGACGGAGGGGGGTAGGGAGGCTAGTCTTGAACATTGACTTATCATTCATTTGCACAAGTTCAAAGTACTCCGTAGAGTGTTGTTTTTAATTTGTTTACTCAAACTCATTGTTATTTTTTTTATCAAGTACATTTTATAAAAATGAAATGAAATGTAATGAGCTATTAAATAAAATCTATTGCAATGATTGCATGAGAAACGTCGCAAAATAGTACTGAGAGCTTAAAAAGAAAGAGCCAACTCGAAAACAGTTTATCTTTGCATGGCGGATGGCTTTAGCACCACCAGTCATTAATCACACTCTTTCGATGTATGTTGACCAATCACCAATCTTGACGTCTTTGCAACTATCATTGTATTGGACCAAACAAGTACAGGAAACACTTTGGACCAATTGGAGAGTTGTTTAATTTTTTATTTCATTTCACTATTATAAGTGAATATATTTGCAGAATTTTTCACCCGACTAACTTGTAGTAGAATTTTTATTCAGCCAACGACTAGGCTACGAGTTTAACTTGGGCCCAAAGCCTCTCCCATTAATAATGACCGGAATCCATGAGGAAAAAATCATCTGTTATTTCTTGATGGTTATTTCATTGTGAAGCTGTATAATCTTTGTAATCTCTATGGGGATATCCGCAAAAACGCAATGAATTAAAAATCAGTGTAAGAAAATTGCAGAAAAATGTTTTAATTAAAAATATATTGTGAAAATCTGAAACCATGACTCCGCAGAAAATGATTCTAAGATCTCTAAAAGTCAACCTTCTCGAATTATGAAAAATTTGAGCCTTTGCAGTGTGATTGACTCAGAAGTAAAGGTGTAAAACAAATCGCTTATTGGTGCAAAGATTTTCGTTTTAGTTAGAAATTAATAATTCATAATAGCTTATCCCTAGATATCATCTCATATTCATTGACCAAACTGACTGTGGCAAGTATAATCCCCAATTATCCCTAATACGTTCTTTTTGAATCGACTTTCATTTGGACAAGGTAAATAAAGCGAAGTCATATTTATAATCTTTTTCAATCCGCAGCCGAATACTTTAAATTTACCCGTGCGGACCAGAAGATGAGTAATAAAAACTATATTCGTGCTACTCATTTAAATTTTACGTAGAAATGGCTAAGAAGAACGATAAAAAGAAAGGTCGTTCTGCGCTTAATCAAGTGGTCACTCGGGAATACACGATTCATTTACACAAGCGAATTCATGGCATGTGAGTATAATCACGAAAGTATTTTAATACTAAATTGTTGCTATTATTGTGTGGTATTTTGTGGTGAAGATTCTGTCTAACTTAATGTGAGTTTGCCCTTCGGAGAATTTTGAACATCGTGAGTTTTCTTATGAAAGAATGTTTTGAACATCGTGACTTTTCTGTGGTTTTATTTGACGACTTTGATCTGGAAGAAGTTCATTAGTCATATATTTATAAGTGCCTTGAGTTGCAATAAATTTATGTGTGCTCTTAGCTCTAAGGTCTTTGACTGGTTTCTCAATTGGTTACCATTGTTATATTCATGACAAGGGTCGAAATTTAAAATTTCAACCAGTATTCAAATGGATACTAGGTTATGGAAATCTAGTATCCCCAATTCAAATTTTGAATCCCTAGTTTTGATACCATAGTGTATATTTCATATGCATTAATTTTTACAATCAATATCATTGCCTGACACTTATGATATTTAAGTAAGTGGTACACTGAAAACTTGTTGCAACTATTCATTGTTTGAATTGGGGGGGAAAAGAGAAAGTTGCATGTTCCTGACCAATGAACTTTAAAATTCTATTTATAATGACAATCCATATCAGCTTTTTTAAAGTCAGAATCAAACATTTCTGAGAGGTAATATTGCTCGGACTCCTCATCAGATGCACATGTTTTTTTACAAATACGTAAGTGCATGAATTGTCTTGTGTGAATTGAAGTTGTTTTATTTTGAATTTTGAGTAAGGTAAAATTCTAATCTAGGTTAAAGGCGATTGCGGGCAACATTTTTTTTGTATGTGAGACTTTGATGGTGTTGTCCTGGCAAGCTCACTTCCATTTGGATCTATTCCTGTTTTCAACTTAAGCTCTCACAGCTCATTACTCAAATCTCTGGTGCTGTCTTAAAGCCTATCGCAATACATATATGCCGAAAATGGCAACCAATTAAGTGTTAGCATGTAGTATTAGTGCATACTTTTTACTGTAAATATTGCTTCAGCAGAAAAATTTTGTCTATCATGTTTCCATAAGAACTTGTGTACTATGTTTGTTCATGTTTCACACCATTGAAATTCAACTGTAACATACATGTGTATGTAGTGCAGCTTAGCTATTCAAGCAAAATGATTACTGCTAATCTTCAGGACACTTCATGACTGTATAATCTTCTTAGCTTTGCCATTACATTTTTGTATGCCGTTAATTGATTTGCACACCTCTTTAATTGCCTTTTGCAGTGGCTTCAAGAAACGTGCGCCACGTGCTATCAAAGAGATAAAAAAGTTTGCAGAAAAAACAATGGGAACACCTGATGTTCGTGTTGATACGGGTTTGAACAAACAGATTTGGTCTCGTGGCATTAGGTGTGTAAAACAATATACTCTTTCCTGTGTTTTGTTTTTTTCCACAACACTGGCATTTATGATATTTTAACCTACCATAATGCCAATGCACTATGTGAAAAGTGTACATACATGATCCATAACCATTTTATATTTGTCTCCTGGTGAGAGAAGTTTTTTGTAATGTCAAATTTTTTGAAACAACTGCGGCAAATACACGTAAAGCTATCTTCTTCTCTACCCATGTAAGTATTCTGGTATGTTTTAATTTGAAAGTAAAACCGCAATTGAGAAAAAGTTAGTGCACATTTACAGATCTCAACGTATTCATTCGACCTACTATTTATAAAAAACACTATGGTCTAGCCCTTCATAAGTCTAATATGCTCACTGTAGTTTAATATTTATAATATAAGTTATAACTATGTTTACATGTATTGACTGTGTTTGTACAAAACTTTGATTTTTGTGGATTTCCTTATATTAAAATAATTCAAGGCTTTAATAGTCCATTAATTTATAAAGATGCACTTCTAGGTCCCTCAATTTTGAAATTTGTTCAAATTTTCAAATATGTCAGTTGGCACTCTAATTTTTTATTTCAGAAGTGGATGTTGAATTGAAGTTTATTTTAAATATTAATGTTAAGGTCAAATGGAAACACACTACGTATTTCCACTCAAACTGTGGAAGAAGTTCTTTGGTTTTGATTTTCATTATGTCTTGTATAATCTATTACATTGACTGTGCTTTCCATGCAATTCAAGTCTTTCAATGTTTGACTTGTCCTAAAATTTTTTAAAATATGTCCTTACAAATACTTCAATACAACAATGTCTGAATTTTATTATTCTCGCATTGTGTAAACTTTGGTATAGTTATGAAGAGTTTGCCAGTTTGATATTTGAATAGACTTGCTCTTCAGTGGAAAAAAGTGTTTTTAGAAATAATGCAACTACATTAAGCTAAACTGAATCATCGAGAAATCTCTTTTTCTTGGATTTGTAATTTATATATGAATTATTAACGCGACTGTTATTTTAACCTGTTGAATTTGCAGAACTGACTCAATGCCATAGTCACTTCTGTGAAACTGCAGGGAGATAAAGAATCAGAAAGGTTTTCGTGTGTGTGGCAACCGAATTTTAGTCAACACACCCCGTGCCTTTCGTACAATGTAGTTCTTCGTGAAACGATCGTATTTCGCTTCAAAAAATTGCTCCTTAAACATGCCATGTAGTAAATGATACCATAAAGGAAGAAACTAGAAAGAGTTAACGACTCGATTTCAGACCTCTACTCGTCACCGTCAAATATATTGCAGCGACATTTTATGTTAAGCAATGCGCTGATTTTCTTATTAAAATCTATAGGTGTGCTCAATATTTTTGTGTTTAGGAACGTGCCATTCCGTGTTCGTGTGCGATTAGCTCGTCGAAGAAACGAAGACGAAGATTCGCCTCACAAATTTTACACACTTGTAACACACGTGCCGGTCGATTCATTCAAAGGTACTACAGCATGGATCAACGGGGTGGGATCACGTAATTTATTACTGATTTTTGGGTAGAATGCAGTTTACCGAACACCCGAAGCGCTTACATGGGCGCGCAGGCTCCTATTGTTATTTGGCAAAAAAGAACCAAACATGTTCGTGTTTGATTAGAAAGTTTAAAATAGTTTTAGTCTTCAAAATGTGGTTAGGGTTTAGTGTTAAGGTTTTGGTCAGGTATCAATGTCTACTATTTTTATAAGGCGGAATTTTCCGCCGGTTATTGCTCCCGCCCGTTGTAATTGATCGATAGCGCCTGGGGTGTACGCTAAACTGCAGTAGTCCCGATTGTTTAAACCCAGGGGTGTATTTACTTGGCATGCGGAAGTGTGTCATTTTCCCGATGAAGGTTGATATACCAAAAGTTCATGCAAAACAAAGTGTGATTGGTTTTTGGTGTAGCACACTTTCTATAGTACCTACCGAGCAAGACAACAGCCACCGAAAATTAATCCGAACTAGAGCACTTTGTCGACAAAATCATCCTTTATCCATCGCTGACTAAAACATAACGTACTTCAGTCAAGGGCGAAACTAGAACGCTAATTGGGGTAATATTCGTATCTTCAGCTCTGCCCTGCTGACTTCTTTTGAAATTAACATCGCAAACAAAAGAAATCAGCAGGGCAGAGCTGAATGCATGAATATATACCCCCAATTGACGCTTTAGTTTCTCCACAGAATAAGAATATACAGAAGAGTCGCTCGTGTCGGAATTATTGATGTTTTTGTCCTCGCGCATGGTGGCCGCCATTATTCCAGCCAGTTGATTAAGGTTTTTGTCTTCATTTCTTAGGTCAAAATATACTTGAGTTCATTATTAAGTATTGACGTCATGTAATTTTAATGGTTGGAAACAAGTGAGAAATCCTAAACATCTGACTGGAATAATGGCCGACATGAGGACGCGTTGTATACCTAAGTGACCATTCCATATAATCATTATTCTGTGCCCTTACTTCAGTTGGGCAATCACAGTTCACAGTTCCATATTCTGTACTGCATGTTTTATACAACCAGCTTCAATAGTAAAGCTTATAGTCTCATAGATCGTCCTGTGACTGTTCACCACCAATGCATTTGAAGTTTGGCATTGTAATCCTACGATATTTTGTTTGTTATCGTGATGATTTTATCGTTCATTCGTTATTTCATCAAAATGATATTTTACTCACCCTAACACCATTTTGAATCATGTGCTTAGTTGAAAGTGCGCCTTTCTTATTCCATTCTTTTTATCTCGGTTGTTAGGTTTGGAAACCAAGATTGTCGAGGCTGATGATTGAATATTATAGGTTGTGAAAATGTGTAATAAAATGTGTTCATTTTGTCAAGATGGTCTTTTTTATGTTTTCTCATTTTTTTCTTCATCATGTTGATTCAACTTTCATGAAACTATTCGAAATATCGCGTGCATCCATATAATCTTTAAAAGCATTTTGTTGTTTTGCATCTCTTTTAATTTATTATAAATATCCCTGTTTTCAATTCAAACCCATGGAAAATGACCAATGAAATTCATGTAATCTGTACACGATTTAATTGAAGTGCTTATAACGTGGAAAAAATTACGACTGGCAAAGAGTATTTTGGTATAACATAAGACAATAGACACTCCGTAAATAGTAAACATTATTTAATCTAAACGTTTCTAGAAGTGTTACGAGGCATCTTCGGTAGAAACTGTTTGCTTTTCAAAATTACATATTACAAATAAGATCGTGATTAAACGTCAACTATCATATTCATTTAAGCCAGGGGTCTCCAAACTTTACAGCCAGAGGGCCACATGAACTTTCATTATGAAGCATTGAAATATAAAAAATTTCCACGTTATCCTTCAGCTTTTTAAATTTCGCAATGTGCTTAAGTTGGGACAAAAATTGACGTAAGCCACTCTTGCAAGTTGGCTTGCGTCATAACGTGAACTTTCTGCACAAAGTTTATTTTGTTTAATAATCTTTTTCTTAAGTGCCTCTGCGGGCCGGATTGAGAGGCCCAACGGGCCGCATCTGGCCCACGGGCCGTAGCTTGGAGACCCCTGATCTAAGCAATCCTCTACTTAATCATGGTGTACAAGCGTCGTGCGAGTTAACAATTTTCCGTTGATTATTTATTAATTTAATTTAAATGGCGTTTAATCACGATCTTATTTGTAATATGTAATTTTGAAAAGCAAACAGTTTCTACCGAAGATGCCATGCAACACTTGTCGAAACGTTTAGATTAAATAATGTTTACTATTTAAGGAGTGTCTATTGTCTTGTGTTTTATAACGTGAAATTTTCAATATTTTTTTAAATAATTGCTCTTTATCTTTTTAACATTTATGTTGCATAACATTAAATATTAGTAAGTGTATATTTAAAGTATAAAAACATCCTTAAAAATGTCCTTAAAACCTTTAGAAAATCCTATTTTTAAGGATAATTCCTTAAAAGTGAGAGCACTGTTTACATCATCCCGAGATTCTGTAAGGCGTGAAATGATATTGTGACAGTGAAAGGAGTCGAACCTTTCACTGTCTAAAAAACTAAAAATTCCAACCTTTCATTAGTTCGCCGCGTAGGTAACTGCCGTTGAAATTCTTAAATCGGGGCAAATCGACTATTCATTTTGTTCTGTGTTTGCACAGCGAGAAGACCTTTGGAAGAACTGGATGTTGAGGTTACACCTGGTTGAGAGTTCTAACTAAAGTCTCTGAGGTTTGCATAAGCCAGTGCAAACACAAAAAAATCTATTTTATAAAAGATTTGAGACTGTATAAGAAAGCGGCGTTTAATTGAAGCTAAGCTTGTATTAGAGGAAATACGTTAACTCAGCTCTTGTGAACGGCCTCTGTGATTTCTTGTTTTATTTTTTGTCTATCTTAGTTTCTGATTTATTTTGTTATTACGCAGCAAACTAGCCTGCGTTTTATTCAAAATTTTAGAATTTTATGAAAATCGATCAACTGCATGTGGTACGAATTATATTAGTTGAATACTTGCAAGAAATCGTATAAATTGACCAACACCTCATTTGGGAGGGCAACATTCTCTGTCTTTAAATGTTTGTAGATGTAGATCGTCCAGGTAAGTACAGTCCTGAGAAAGACTGTTTTGTTGTTGACTGACGTTTCGACAACCTCAGAGGTAGTCATCTTCAGAGTCAAAGGACTCTGAAGCTGAGTCTGAAGATGACTACAGCTAAGATTATCGAAACGTCAGTCAACAACAACAAAAACAGTCTTTCTCAGGACTATACTAACCTGGACGATCAACATCTACAAACATTGTAACGATACTCACGGGTTCAAACCATTTACTTTATTCACTGTCTTTCAAACAAAAAGGAGCGCATGCGTGGAAGGGTAATATTCACTGCTCTTTCAAACTAAAAGGAGCGCATGCGTGAGGTGCAAAGACTGTTTTTGAAAGACCACACTTTGGCGTAGCCAGCCTGTAAATCTCGTCCTACTATGTAAATATTTTCATTTTCAATCACTGCATAAACAAAAGTTTCTAGAGAAATGACTGACAAATGAAAATTTATGTAGCATGAAAAATTTTTTTGGCGGTGGTTGCGCAAATGTTTACGCAACGTTTATTGCATCAGCTAAATTTCTTTAAACCTCATACTATGAGATATAAAGAGCCATGTATTCATTTTAAACTCGGCATCCACTATTTATAATTTTTGATTGCATCAAGCAATGATGTAATATTAAATCACGTTTCCGCGATGTCCCTGGAAGATGATCTTGTGATCTTACTTAAGTGACGGTAGGTCTACTGCAGCGAAGATGATGTATTTTTCAGACTAAGTGATGTATTTTTCTTAATTAGATGAAAATTTCACTTCAGTAGCACTTTAATAATATGTATAATTTTGTATATATACATTGCAATTGATGGGCCAAGATGGGGATGAAGTGTGTTATATGAAAAATAGCCGTGACCGTCAGTCAATCAACTAATACATATGTAAATATCACCAGGTTTATGTCAGGTCAGACAAGGTTACACAAAGGATAACATATTAATGCTGCCCAAGCAGACGATAAAAGTTGTGTCGCTGTTGCCAAGTCCTCCTCAGTTCATTATACTCGTGCATTCTTGGCAATATACTCTTTTCATACATTATTGCTATCGAAAAGCTCTTAAGCAGCGACGAATCTTTTCAATTTTGTCTTTATTTATTTCATGGAAGTTGGGTTTTTTTTTCGTCCCGAATAAATACCTTTGACAGCATGACTGAAATGTCACAAGGCTTTGTCACATGATCATCTCCTGCCGAGGAATCTGTCATGCTCACGTGGCGTGATCAATTGTGACGCAAATGAAATATGATTACCAAACAGACCATGCGAGCAAGGTCATTCTTCAGCAAGTCGTTCTCCAAATACTTGCTACTCAGTCAATAGAAACGCAAAGTGCTTGCATTGAAAACAGAGAGAAGTATGTTTCTACGTGGGTCATTCGCGTTGTTCATTCTTTGCACATTGCTGGCGAACGTGATCAGTGTCTCAGTACCGTTTATTACTTGTCCCGATGAAGCTCCAGCCTCGACCGCCTTTGAGTTGGACTTTAATTGCGAAGGTGGTGTCCCTACGCCATGTACTCTATTCAAGGGAAAAACTTATGCGGGCAATATAACATTTACACCCAAGACGACAATCAATGCAGGACAAATTTTCCTATACGATATCGTAGGGGAAGAAAAGTTGCCTTTTCCTTTCGATAAGTCCGACTTTTGTAAGGGCCACAATCTCAACTGTCCTTTACCAGCCGGCCAAAAACAAGTGTTCAAAATGGAAATGCCCGTCCCATCGTTTGCTCCGTCGGCGAATTACAAAGTTGAAATCGAAGTTCGACCGCCAAAGTCATCCGCTTCGTTGATGTGCTTGCAATTTCTTGTAACCATTGCAGATAAAAGCAACGATATTGAAGCCTGACAGCACATAAAGCCAAATCGTGAGATCAAAATCGAACAAGATAGACCGTTCCATAATTGAAGTTTAAACACAGAATTTATATCGTAGATATATTAAATGATTTTGTAGTGAAATGGTTTTTTTCGCAAAAAAATTGATAAATTAAAATTTACATTGCAATCAAAATTAATCGACTCCATGAAAATCGAAGCTTCTTGCATGAAAGTATAAAAGTAAAGCTTGCGTGAGACCCAAAAATATTATTTGATAAAAACAAAGCAGATCGACAGGAAGCTGAGATTGTCGTATTGAATAACATAGTGCATATCTACTCTTTCTTACATAAAAGGAACAGTTCCTAATTGTACGTTGTATCACGAGACGCAGCTCAAAATTTATAAAAACAAATCAGCACTTTTTGTGCCGTTGGAAAGAGATCAGAGAGGTCACATTCAGCCAGTCACAACATGTATATGTATTTTTCTTAATTAGTACATAGAATACGATCTTCTCGATCACAAGTTCAACCTTCAAAACAAGCAAGAGCTGTGTTTTAGCATTGGTAAGACGGTAGCGTCGGACTCATGTCGTGCATGCGGTTGACGATGAATGACGAATGCATATTGTTTGTTTTAGTGACTCGTGAATGAAGCATGCTCGAAGTTCTGTTGTCTCTCTTTGTAAAATAATACTCGAAGTATTTGCTGGATGATTGATTACCCTACAATACTATTGTGAAATAATCGAGTCCGGTTTTCTTTGTTTACATAGTTACTTAAAATTCGCCAGCAAATTAGGTAGAACTTCTGAACATTTATGAAGATGCATTAACACTGATGATATTGCACACGAGAAACAGGTTAGGAACTTGGGTATCTCAAGATAAATATTGAAATGTCAGAAATTACATAGTTATGCAACCGTTGTCTTGTGCCATGCATGAAAAATGATTTATTGATGCTGTGATTCATCGGCTAAAAGTGCTCTTGAACGTCAGGGCATGGCTGTAGTTGGTTTTTTTTGTTCACACCCCTGACCAGGGGGCGGTTGAGCGAGGCATGGATAGCGTTCTCCAATGGATTGCACAAATTTGTACGAGTTCAAATCTCGTCCAAGTCACATGTTTTTCATGTGCATATTAAAAACCGTGTTAGAATTAATATATTAAGATTGTCCACGATATACGCGTAATGGGCTATGATCATATTGGCATGTTTCAACTGGCTTGTTCTCTTTTCTCCACATAGTAGTTTGTACTGAGTAAATATTCATATATTAGTAGCTATAATAAAGGCCCAAATAAAAAAGTCTAAGTGATGTCTGTGTCTGTAACAAACAGAAATCTTCGCCATGTTCAATAGACGCCACGGTAAATGTTGCGATGGTTGCTGCATGTGTGTTTCTGGCGTTCAAGCGACTGACGTGCGCATCAATTCGCTTTGGACGCGCGACTGAAGCGACTGCCTAGTGTGTTTCAGCCTTTAATCTGAACAGAATCGTCAACAAAGAGCAAATTAGTCCTACCGAAGTACGAAAGTACTAAAAAAACTGCACGGCCTGTGCCCTCCATTAGTGATACAGTCAGTTGTATATTATCTTGTAAACAGTATTGACTCAGTTCATATACAGAAGTAAATTTTGTTCGATTTATCCGTGAGAGACGATTTTACTTTTCACAAAGCGCTTGAATGACAAATTAAGATATAGTATTTATTTAATAGAAACGTTTATCAATGAAAATAGCAATGAATTTAAAAAAGTATGAAAAAAGAGGATTATCCCTTTACGTAAATACATTGGAGTGCATGAAGTTATATAAAACAAGACCCTAACTTTCCTTCCAAGAAATCAAAACAAAAATTTTAGTATGGGCCGTTAGTGCTGGAGTTGTGGTACACTATATACGCTTCACTGTTCGAAAATGCCCATAGGCGTAGAAAACGGAGGGGGCTAGTAGGGCTTCCTGAATTTTGTAATGCATGGCGGGCATAGCCCTCCCTAATAATATGGGTTGACATTGCCAAAATATAATACATCCGCATTCATCCCTAAAGCTTGAAGGAATAAGGGTCTGGTCAACTACTCGTACGTCGACATCAGCTTCCCTGAATTTAAATTTGTCCCTACGTCTATGCTGTTAAGTATAGCTGAAACGTGTCAGTTAACTTTGATATTCCAATCCAGAAAAATTTCACATGAATGAAATATCGTTTGCGTGTTTTAAGTCGAACACTATTTCGACATTTTTGACATTTAATACGCCGACTCTATTTCATTGCAACGAGACGCACATTCCAAGCACAACTACATCTAACTTAAATGGTTTGAAACCTATTTGTAAAGTCATCGTACAAAATTCTTTTTTTCTTTGGTTTTTAACTTTCCGGTAATGACCAACATTTCGAAAGCAGGCTCGGCTGTATTTTGATTCTGGGGGAAATTATTAAGGCCTAAAGGTTACTATAGAGCATGAATGATGAATACAATGATAACTCTTAATAATTTAATATATATTAATGTTATACAAGTACTGTGTATGTTAAATGTGATTGGAAGTCGACTAAAAATGCCGGGGTCATCCTTATAGCAAGAAATTTCGCGGGCCGAATCTCCCCCGAAAGACGTTGATTTTATTTGAAGAGCTGTCGAAATCTATGATATTTTTTCCTATATAACCAAACACTTGATGTACGCAACATTAGTGTATATAGCAGTAATTAAAGAATGTCTAGCTGCCGCATACTTAAACTGGGAACTACTGCAGTTTATCGGACACCTTAGACGCTGACCCAAACCCCAACCAAAAACGAGCCCGCGTTCCGCATATAAGCGCTTCGGCCTTCGAGTGTCCTGCATTAATTGTCGGCATGCCTGACCCTAATTTAACTGACGCATATCAACAATCAACATTTTGATCCATTCAAAATGTTGATATCGAACTTAGAAAATATTGCAGAACATTTTCACGTTGTGCGAAGTTGGAAGCCCGATTACATTAAGTATTTAAAAAATTTTTGGTTCGAATCATATATGCACAATTATGCACTCTCCTTACCTTGGTTAGTTTCTTCGTCACTCTTTGACTTATTTACAATCGTTTTTTCTCATCTTTAATTTCTCCTGCAAACTTCAACTCTTCGCTTCTTCCACAAGCCGAATTGCCATAATCTTTTGGTTGTCTTGTGGGTTCTATACAAGACCAATGAATCGTTTTCTTCCACACAGTTCCTTTCTTGTCCGCTCGTATTAAACGAAAAACAGCAAGATTCAGCGATGGCCTGAATACGAACGCATTTTGTATCTTTATATTAGATATTTAGACTTTCTATTACAAAGCAACGTCCCTCAGACTGTTTTTTAATGGAATACCACTCAAAAGTATTTCTTTTACAGAATAAAAATTCTGAGTAATATACAAATTTTGGCCGCTTTTTTGGTGCTGTACGATGCAAATATCACCGTACATCACCAAGACAGGCCGTCAATTTCAAAAGTCAAGTGAATAATTGTGAACTCGTGGTCACAAGAAATATGCAGATGTGCACTTCGCTATGCAATTTGGTGCTGTATATTTAATTAGATTCATCAATAGCGTGGCTTTTTGCATATTCCTTATTCCGCGCTCATTGTATGTGACCTAAACTTTCGCGACGAACCATTTCCTTCACGTCACAGCAAAAAATAGCATTATTATTTAACTGCACAATAGCCATTTTGAATTTCTTTTCTTATGAACATTATAGCAAGTCGATTACACGCCGTGCATAAAATTGCAGTATTTTTAGCGGAAAAGATCCAACAATGGCAATTCCATGAGCAATTTATCTTTTGATGTTCGTGCACAAGGAATGCCTATAAAGTTCTTCACCAATAGGCGTATTGAACGGTGGGAAGGGAAGAAGGAAGAGAACAAAGGATTCTTGACTTGCAATTCAGCCATGGTGGTGTGATACAAAAAAATATTCTATCAGTGTTATTGTTGGCACCAGCCGACGTGGGCGAGCAACATTGTTTGATAAATCTCAAGAGAATGATTACAATTGAAGAATTGGCAGCCTCCCAAGGACAGTCATGTATTTTATACTCCAACAGTTTCTCTGTTTATAAGATTCTTAAGTTGCAACGCCCAATACTTCCCATGTGACGGCATTTTGGGATCTAGATTTGCAACGCCCATAAAATATTTTACTTTCCCTTGGAATAAAAATAGACCAGGTATATTGTGTAGAGAATTCAGGAAAAATTGATGAGAGCCATGGTATTTTCCTTTTACTAAAAGACTGTAAGTTAGCAATGAAGTCCGAACGGCGAATGAAACTCGGATTTGCAAAGAAACATATAAGGCCTGTTTCAAAAGTCGAACTTTACATGCACATGCAAGACCTCATTATCTTCTGTTTTAAATGCGTTCAGCTCATGTAGTTTCAGCTCATTCGACGTTTGAAACTAGCCTTATATAGTAGTTGGTAATAGAGCGATCATTAGTGCGTAGCAAAACCCATCTAATTACTGAATTTCGGAGTAGTGCAAAGGCACAGAAAACGAAGGAAATCGAGAAAATCATCTACAATACGAGCGGAAGTAACTTTCAAACGAATACGCATGCGTCTCTGGGTTTCCCGTGCTTCAACGACAAGGCGTTTTGCTTACGTCATCGTACTTCAAAATCAAACGTGATATTTTTACGATAAGTATTTCTTTTTATATCTTGTTTAAGCAAATCATAAGAGCGCACTGTTTTCGGTATGGCAAATCACATACTTTTTATAATGCTTCAGCTAGTAATGAAATTTTATTAGTTCTTAAAACGAAAGTCCAGAACACACGTAACAAATTCAAATTTGCTCATATAGGCAAAAAATAAAATAAGTAATAACTATATAGATGTGGGCAAAAAACGTCAAGAAACATTTCATTTCTAGGCTGTTGCAAGAAATTTTTTTAGGACGCGATCATTCATAAACCAATCTCAATGGTGTACAATTAGCAATACTCAACAACACGTAGCACAGTGATAATTTTTTTTTAATACTTATCGACACGGGTCCATTAAGCATCCCGAGGTTGTCGATAGTTATCATCACGGAATTCCCGATCACGTTTTGTTGTATTTCTCTGCGAGCTTTCCTCATCTCTGCTGGGAACGTCACGATGTGGCTTACCCTGCTCTTTATTGGTCGAACGGCCTGTGATATCAACAGAGCAATGCATTTTCATTTTGCTGATGCAATAAACTCATAAGCATGTTGGCAAAGATTTTAAATTTTTGGAAGACCATGTTTATAATTTTTATTTAAAAACTTAAAAACGATTCTGATGTTCCGTTGCGAAATACTTCGCTGGTTACGTTGATGAAATATTGAAGAGAGTTGGAGCTAAATATAGCTAAAAAACTTCACAACTTCAATACTGAACATAATTAACGACTTTAAAGACAGCAATTAACAGTTTGTTTACGTAAAGATGTTTCACCAAAAAAAATGCTTTTTGAAAGATGGAAAAAAAGAGCACTATAGCAGACCTGAATTTCTTCCTGTTGGTTCATCAGATGACCCACGTGGTCGTGATCTAGGCTGGTAAATAGCTTGAGCTGGTCGATCCTACGCAAACGAACAACGCATTACGCGCATATGATTTGAAAGAGAAATATGAACCTTAATCTATAGAAAAAAATTTAACCAATAAATGTGCCTCCGAGGCATTTGGAAACGTCATTATACCCGTTAATGATTATCACTGCACGCTGGCGTGTCGCGAATTATTCACGTGACCATAAAGTCGTTGTTTTGCTTTTTACCATGATATATCATCAAACTTACTGCAAGGATATGCAAAGACGCGCAATACGACTAGCATTTTAAGTGGTTGATGAATTACTGCGTTATGATATGAAAAATTTCCTTAAGGTGCATATGAGTCGAAAATTTTACTATTCAATTATATTTTAGTGCTGTGCACACCGGTTCCAGCCTCTTGTCAATTCTGAACTCCGGCTTCGAATTCCGGCCAAGGGTGGATTATCCAGTAGGATAAGTAGGAATAAGCCTAGAGGCCCGCGCTTTCGAGAGGTCCGTTGTATCTAGATGTAATTAGGATTTGGACATTTTTGCTTTTCTGGGCTAGCTAAATGTGCTTAACTTAGATCATATATTCTGTTGAACACCTTACGAGCAATCGAATGCAGAGGAAAATGGTTTTCGTCGTATCTACTGTTCAAATGCGCAATGCTCAGAACTCATGAAGTTGTGAGCGCGTTTGCACGTAGCTTTTGCACGAAGGGAGTGAAAGACACAAACGTCCAATTTTGACAGGTCGCGTCGTGAACTCAATGTTATCAAATTTTCTAAAACTTTGTTACAAGGCACATGGCACTACAGAAATGAAACTTTCACCTCATCGAATTAAATTGAATTTTAAGCATTTTCATTTTCTTTGCGCAAGCGGTTAAAATTGAAGCTTTTACAAACAGCTCTCCCGGTTTTCGCGACTAATTCTTCTGATTGTTTTTACTTTTAGATAAACCAGACGATGCCAAAATACATAGACGCTGACTCATTTTTGAAAAATTTTGATGAAATGATAGTTTTCTGGACATTTTTAAATAAATTGTAACACACCGTATAGTTATCTCCTCAATAGCACAAGTACGTTGACTTTAGTAGGGAATGCAAACCTTATTTCTCACTCTTTCTCTTGCGTCCAGCTGCCCCTTTTTTGTTTCTTCTCCTTTTACATGAGAAGACGTACTTGAGGACCTGGAATCAGCTCTGTTGCTGTCGCAATCTTTAACACCTGCAAGTAATTTCAGAAGCAATTGACGAACACAATATGGATTTTCATGTCGATTTGATTCGTTCGATTAAAACTCAATATTTCTTATATAAGCGTAATAAAAATGCCTATAGGGGACCGAAGGGTGCAGACGAAAGGCAATTTCCTCGCATATGCCAAGCAAATCAGCAAATGCAATTGGGATTAGCGTTTCAATGAGCACACTTTCAAAAAATCTCGATCACAATGAACATTACAGAGTATCGGCAGGAAGAGCCACCGAAATCTAAATCAAACTACAGGATGAAACAAAAAAAAACGGAACCAGCAAAATAATTACGTATGCATCAAAATGAAATCCGCACAACAAGATAATTTAATTAATGGCTGTTATAACTCAGTTAAAGACGTTTTGATTTTACATAATAAAGTTGAGATGAAAATCAGTGCATGATGATACTTTTTACTTGCTTTGCTTTAACTGTAAAATCCCTATGGAATCCCAGAGGCGCAGAACTATCAAGTTCATTAAACTGTTGGGATTGCTAGTTACATGGTGCAGCGATGAGCGAATACAAAATTAATTTATGCAGGTTCTATTTTTTGGGACACCCGTCAAAGCACCCCCACCACTACCCTACAAAAACCTTGTTTTTTTATCAGTTTTTCGTAGTAATCAGAAAAATAGGAGCGATGAAATGAATTTCGAAGATGTTCACCAATTTACGACAAAAATATTTTATTTAAATTCTAAATTGAAGTTGAACTTTCACAGTTGAAATTGCGTTTGCCTTTCTCCCCCTCCTCCTGTAGAAAACAACAGCAAATGGTTGTATATTTTTTACATGATTTCCGACGATGATATTTCAAGATCAAGTTCTCACATGAAGCATATTGTCGCACCTTTGTCTCTTCTTGGATGGCGATTGGAATTTCTTGATGAGTTGAAGTTCGATCTACAAGCGCAAAAAGAGACACAAATTACATTTTGATTGAAGGAATTCCAAGAAACGAGCATTCGTGAAACAAGGTAAATTACATGTTGAGTGCTGGAGTTTTAAGAAATAAAGATTATAAGGATTCACGAACCATCTAATGTAAATTACATTTTGATTTATAGAATTCCAGGAAATGAAGATTCGTGAAACATCTAACGTAGTATACATCGAATGATAAACACTCAAAGCACGTTAAAATTTGATTCAAAGAATTTGTCAAACTTTGTACAATGCAATATCAGCAGCTACTATATATACTTAAGATAAAGATGAGTTATTACAAACACGCAACAACATTTTCTAGAGAGGCTATATAGTGGCTTTATTGATCTGTTTTCTTTGAAAGCTTCATTGTTGTTTTTATCTGTTACATTGGAAATTAAATGGATCGTTGTTTTTACGAAAATTACATGAAGTCAACGACGAAATTACTCAAATTTCATCTTTAAAATACTATTGAAGAAGATGATAAAAAGTACGAAGTACGAGCGTTCGTGCATGCAAGTATATATTTACAATAAAGCATACCTTTGGCCATCGGATTGCGATTTGCTGTCTTTAAATGTACGACCAGAGGAAGGTCTGTTCTAAAATAGTAAAACAAAGAAAAACACAGCATTAAAATGCGTTGTCGCGAACAAACATTACGCAATTTCAAACATAGCCAAATGGAGTATCTTTCCTTGTTTTTCTACTGGGTGTCCCATAAGCAAACGGAACCCACATAAATTGATGTTCGCTGAAATTATTATGCACAATAATGTAATAAGCATTCACGACAGTTTAATGAACTTGACACTTCTCCGATCACATATGGTTTGCACAGTATTAGTGCAGTGTGTATCAAAAAGTAGACTCTAGGAAAAAGTTCTCTAAAACTAGACGCGCGCGAACTAAGCAAAAACGTTTGGTTATTCTTAGTACTTCAATGTTCTCTGGTACAGCTGGCAATGAAATTTTTCTAAATGCAAAATGTTTTACCAGTGAAATATCCGCTGTAACAAGTCCTTCAAAACAGGCCTTACGCCCCAAAAATAATCATCGGAAAAACAATTTAATCGACTCGAGTCAAAAAATAGACTGTGCTGTAGAAGCTATCAAAATTTCAAGCAATTTGGGGTGAGCGCTGGCCAACGTGAGACCTTTAAAACTTGGATTTTTTCGCGTTTTCGAATTTCACACGTTTATTACAACATTTACACCTTTGGGAATTGGCTCCCTAATTTCATATTGTACCTTATGTATATTTCTGAAATGAATATAAGTAATTCATAATGATGTAATAAAACTTGGTTTGAACAAGACCTAAACGCAAAAAATCCAAGTTTACGAGCGCTTACCCAATTGCTTAAAAATTTGACACTGGCCATAATTCGACTCAAGGTGATTACATTATTTTTCCATTGAGTATTTTTCGTGAGCAAGGTCCGTTTTGAAGGACTTTAAACAACGGTTTTTCACTGGCAAGAAATCTTGCATTATAACAAATTTATTATCAGCTGTATCAGAGAATGATGAAGTAGCTGCTTAGAATAACCAAACGTTCTGGCTTATTCCACGCGTGTGTTGTGTTAGAGAACTATTTCTAAGAGTCAACTGATACACCCTGTACAGCAAAACTATTTACAAACACTGTAATGCACTGATTTTCGTCTCAATTTTTTCACACAAAAGCTTAGTAAAGGCAAAGCGACATTAACTGAGTTAAAACAGCCACAGAAACACAAACATATTTTTTATAAGTTGCAACGAGCATAGACAAACTAGCGTGCAACAAAATTAACCAGGACGTAACAATTAGCAATGTTGTGCGGATTCAGTTCAGTTTTGTGGGGACATCCTGTATAAAACTCTGTTTACCTTAAACGGCTTTTCTTTTACAACATTATGTCCTTTATCCTTGCTCTCCGATGGCAACTTATTTTTGTGTTCACCACTTTGATTGGACGAAATTGTTTTTTTGTCGTTGGATTCCGCACCCCTTTAAATACGTACGTAAATTGAATCATTATACCTACCTAATATGAACGGAAATATGAATTATTCCCTGGTATATTCATTGTATTTCGAAGGCAATCATAAATTTTCATCGTGCGCGTAGATAACACTGACCCACTTTAACGAGACATGCTTTCCTGAAAAACTTCTAGTCAAACTGGATTGATTTTACGCAATATGCAGAAAAACTGTTTATCATTTTTTTTTGTCATTTTGAGCCGGAGAAAGAATCCAATGTTCTCCATGCCGTTTCCAAAAGGTTTAAGGCCGAAACGACTATAGTATAGGTCTATTCAGGTTGTCGTACCTTTCTTTTTTTGCAGCATCACCGGACTTTTGAGTTTCTGAGTTTTTGTTTCCTCCCTGAAACATAATGGAAAAAATGCGTGATCCAATATCAGGATTATACATAAGGCAGTCAAACGTTCATTGATGTAAAAAATTTTTTATTGAAAAAGCTTTCGGCTGTCTGTCTACAGCCTTCGACGGGTTACAAAAGAAATGAATAGGGTGTAACACTATATAAATACATAAATAAAAAAGCGGAAATAAAGTAATATGATATAATGTTCTATGTGATAGGTATAGTAACTGTTTTTTTTTAACAGAATATTATATTGTGGTGAAGTGGTTTTGAGTTGTTATCAGCTGCTTTGGTTAGTCCAGTGTGCCAAGATTCTAAAGTTTCGGATCACGCATTTTTTTCTATTATTCGCCAAAAGGCTGGGCAGCAGGCCCTGAAATTAGCAAGAAACTGGGAGAAGAATACGTATAAATTAGAAGCTTGTATTATTGACAGAACACGAAAACCTTAGAATCATGGCTTTTTTATTTATGTATTTATACAGTGTTACATCCCATTCATGTCTTTTATAACCCGTCGAAGCCTGTAGACAGATAGCCGAAAGCTTGTTCAATAAAAAAATTTATATCAATGAACGTTGACTGCATTATAAGACAAATGATTAAAAAGCGTCAATTGATACACAGCTTGTCGACAAAGTGGCGGTTTTTATCGTTCCACAGTCCGTAAGTTCAAGGAATGCATTTCGCATTTATACATGTAGTCTTGGTCGATTTCGTTGTTGGCAAATACTTTTTTTCCATCAAAAGTGAGCAGTCGTCAGGAAACCAAACTAATGATAACCGTTTGGAATTAAAACGAGCTTGTAGATAAAGGAACTCGTATGAAAAATGTTCCCAAATCACAAAATATTCAAAAAATCGTGCTAGCAACAATAATTTTTATCAATTTGCTTTTAAATGTAGCTAATCAAACAATACCAGTGCAAAACTTCAAAACCCGAATCAAGTTTTGGAAAGTTGGATGGAATGCGCACGACTTTTAACGTTCGAGAAACAAAAAAGGGACTGGGGAAAGTCTTACGGCGGCTAAACGATTACGATTGATAATTAATGTTACACCTTGCGTATACTATAAGCTATATAAGCTACATTTACGAAGATTTTTGCATGCACGGGTCATGAACACAACTTGTCTGTAGTGGTTTTTTTTAAAAAATATCATGTTCGCCAACATAACATATTCATCATTCGCGTACAACCGACACTTTCTCAAAGAAGCACACCACATCAAAAACACACACGGAAGTTATACCATTACTAAAATTGCATGTTCCTGGCTCTATAGATATGGAGCTAAAGACAACATTAGCAGTTGAAGCAGAAAACGCACCAATATGTACTATGAGACAACTGTTTCTACGTATCGAAACGGTTCACATAAACCATTCTTAAACTAAGGTGCTGGCCATTCGAGCGTTTAGTGAAAGATAAACGCCTTCTGCATCCTGTGTTAGCTACCTAACTATCAAACGAGTAAACAAGAGATGAACTAATGCTGGGACAATTTAGGTCTTGTGGGACATGCTATCTCCTCCCACCTATTCTTAACATGTAACATCTCATTGAAACTTTAAGTGCCGTACTTTCACATTGAATGTCGTACGTCTCACCTGAGAAAACTACCTTAAGGACATCGAACCCGCCATGCTTTGGTGGGACGGATAATAGATATCAATGGAGTTACTTACACTCGTATGTATTGAAGGAATTAGGCGTAGGAATAATATTTAAAAAGTTTATTTTGAATACAAGTGAATTACCCTTGATTCCTTTGCTTTTTTCTTCTTTTCGCTTGAACTCGTCGAAGATGAACGCTGAATAAACGAGAGTTTTTTTTACGTGAAGTGAAAGAACAACGCCATGCTCACTTCATAAAAATACATCATTGAAAATACATCGATGAAAAATTCAGAATGCATGCAAAGTACAAAATACATACACTGACACGGCAAACATATTGTCGGGGGTAGTTTTGTTAAAAATAGCTTTCGCGCTTATGGTTTTAGCTGGCTACTTACTTGTGATGATATACGAGATTTTCCACTGCTTTTTTTCATTTTCATAAACTCGATAAGCGGTGTTGAAACTTTTGCATCTAAACAAAGAGTAGAAATTCCATACACGAATTTAAATGGATGTATAAACAAAATGGATATTTGTCAATGATTATCAAAACAAACAAAAAAGTGTATGCTACATGCATGGTTTCTTCGCCTTTCTTGCGTAGTTTAGTTGCGAGTAAGATGGGAAAAGGTTTTCCTTGAAAAACATGGTCAAAGAACAAGGTTGTTTGCGTTGAAAATAATTATTTTTTATCTAGAAAATTAATTCGAGGCAGTGTGCAAGGTGCAGATACTTTTGAAGGTATATAAAATAAACCTTTCATATTTTGTTTGTTTGCTTCCATTTGCTCAAGATAAATTTCAGCACTCGGAAGTGGTTCGACTTCCTTTTCCAACATTTCCAAGAATGCCAAATACTCTGGGTCTAGAATGACAAAAACAATTTTCGTTACAGAACTTTTCTTACGAATTGTTGAACGAGGAGCGTTAGTAACATAATAACTTCTCGTGTGCTGTGAGTGATATCTCCATCAACGAAGGCGCTATCGGTGGCGGAAAAAATTTAAAGCAGGGTTGATGTGATTAAAATAAAATGTGTAGCAATAACACCATAGCATTAGTTCTGTTTTCATCCAAAAAGCTAAAAATCTCACAAACGACAAACGCAAATGACACAAACTAATCTTTCAATTTAAAATCTATATTTCAAATGCCATATTGCAAACCTAGTGATAATGTTTTCGTTTAAGTTTATAAAATAAAAACAATAAAACGGGTGCCCTGATTGGTCTAACACGCTCTATGAACAACACGTGACAGAACATGCTCAGAAAGGTCTGAGCAAAGCAAGCCGATTAGGATGGAAGGGGAAGGAGCTTCAGAGTTCAAAAGTTGCAGAAAATTACCCGCAGATTGCTGGTAGGTCTATGTTAACGCCGATTTTCCTCATCTTCCACGGGGAAGCGTTGTGAAGAACAATATTCATAAAGGGTCGGTACAGATTGACAAACATTGTTTACACGTTCTTTTGCACGGCGAGATTAATACTGTGAGATTCTCGTTGTTAATAACAAAATGCGTCAATAAAACTATCATTGGTTGAAAAGTCCGTCAATTAATTAACATTTTAAAGTAATACTTGTGTGTGTGATGTATGAAGATCAGTCACATCACTCGCCTGTCTTCTTATATAATTGAACTAGTTATTGCCGGAAGGCTATCTTTCGTTAAACATGTCCGCACAGTACTTGCAAGAAGCCAATTTTTACCAGCAGAAACGCGTGTTACGCACTTTATTTTACTTTAGCTTTGAGCTTTCTTTGGCGGGTTGTAAAACTATTGGGACAAGATGAATGGGTGCCTTTAAATATTTGCGGGAGGTGCTAGGTAGACTTCCAGTTATGCAGGGGCGAAACTAGAAAGCTAATTGGGGGATGGGGTGGTGAGTATTCATACATTCAGCTCTGTCCGACTGATTTTGTTTGTTAGCGATTTTAATTTCAAAAGAAATCAGCACGCAGGGCAGAGCTGAAAATATGAATATTCATTACCCCATCCCTCAATTAGTGTTATAGTTTCGCCTCTGCAGTTATGTTCAATTCGATGGTTCACAAGTATTGCAGTTAACGTCGCTTAATTTCTCGTTTCCGACAACAAAGCTTTAGCAATATTTTAAGGTATAATGAGAACACACTATCTCATCGAAATTTTTCAACATATTTCCAAGACGTATGGAACTTGGGACTTGGGCATAAGTGTGATGAACGTTGTTGACAGGTGGCTCCAAATAGTTCACATGTTTAGCAGTCATCTTCTTTTACAGTCGTGTGAATGAAAGAATAATGTTATTTACACGGCCACAGCACATGGCCTACTAACGTGTTAAAATGTATGAAATACGGCGAAACTTCCGCAGCCTCAAAATGTTAATAACAGTATTTATAAATGCATAATTGTTTCTGAAAAGTGACAACGAGAAGAGGGAAACGTATTCAGGCATGCAACGTTCTTCTAGCGGAAGATCAGTTGTAATGTCATTACTTTACAGTAACCATTTTAGCTTGAACCAACGGCTGCATTCTTATCAGCCACCTTCTCGCACGACAAATGGTAGATTAACACCGTCGCGCTTAGAATACGTAACAGTCGCACGTCTTGCGTAGTCACTCGTCGGTTCACGAAACTCGACAGTTTCTTTGCATCGAATCTTTTTCCATGCATTCCGAAGCAAGTGTAGAGATCGGGCGCGGAATTGTTTATACGAAAAGAAATAAATAAAAGGATTGTATACTGTGGACGTTTTCGCAAACAGGGAGGGCAATTCTATCGCAAATAAAGACAGCGCTCCACCAGAAATCTTCACAATTATGATCACCACAAATGGTAGCCAGGCAAAGAGAAACCCGACGACAACAAACAAGACGACTTTCGCCATTCGCACCTTTGTTCAAAGAAAAGTAAGAATTCAATGATGGAGCAGTTAAATACTAGAAATACATAGATGCTTGTTGTGCTAATTCATAGTTCATGATCCCCAAGGAGCTCGTTCATAAGGGCCGAAGTCCTCATTCATATGCCGCGGTACTCATATATATATATATGCCTTAGGTATTCATGCGTATACTGAGGTACTCATACTTATATGCTGAGGTACTCATTCATATGTCGAGGTTCTCATGCACATGCCGAGGTACTCGTTCATATGCCGAGATACTCATTCAATTGCCGAGGTAGCTACTCGTTCATAAACCGAAGTACTCGTTCATATGCCGAGGAACTGATTCAAAATTTTAAAGTTATGTCAGTCTTTTATGGCCCCTATGACGAAATAGTGTTCTTAATCTCGTCATTATGTCGATGCTTGAGCTCACGCACGACTACAATTCTTTATACAATCAATTAAGTAGCTATACACTCTCTCTTACAGAAACTATATGAGAATATTAAGCTGACCAAACTTAATGCGAGTATAGTAATTGGCGAAACACCTTAATCTTGTTTTTCTTACAGTAAAGCAATCATAAAAGTGTAAGTCAAATCCTTTCACTCTCCTCCTTGCGAACAAGACAAGTCTGTACAAAAGCAGAGAGCCTTACGCCACAAGTCCTGGGCTTGTGAACGGTATTGCGGAGTTAAAAGGTGAAAGGACACCTTATAAGATGGCGTTTTCTCCACTGGTGTTAGTGGTTTTAGGTTGTTTGAGTGAAGCCAGAGGAGGAGAAGAAAGCAATAGAGGATTGAGATTGAAGAATTGAAGAGTCCTTTCACCAAATAACTCCACTATATATCTGTCACAAGCCTAGGACTTGTAGCGTAAGCTCTCTGCTTTTGAGCAGACTTGTCTCGTTTGCAAGGAGGAGGAGTGGAAGGATTTTACGTACTATTTTATGATTGCTTTAGAGGAAGAAAACCAAGAATGTGGTGTTTCGCAAATTACTACTCGCATTAAAGTTTGATAAGCTTAATTTTCTCATACATAAGTTTTTTTATATAATCTTTGGTCATTGTTTCACGTTCTTTTTTACAAGTGAAAACGCTCATGACAAACAGCATACATCAGCAGGATCTCCTCTTGTATGTAAAAATCGCAGCAAGAGGTGCGGATCCCAATCCAATTCATGTACACGACGCAGCACAAGCTACGGAACTCGAAAGGTAAAAATATTTTTCGGTCAACACAGTCGAAATAAACCTATAAACTATTTATGAGCACTGGAGAGCATAAACTAACCATAATTCATTTTTTTGTTCTTGAAAATGCATGAATCAGTTACAAATGAATAAATAAAGACTAAGAACTAGATATACGTGAAGGTGCTATGAACTCACTGCATGGCAACATGACAACGACAAATAGAATGGTTCGTTACAATCATCGCTTACTTTCATGCGTGATAAAAATCGCAAGAACACAAAGAACGGGTGAGTATTACCTCGGTTAGATACGTTTGCTGGGTATACAGTGACGCCTCACCCCACGTGCGGTTAGCGTTGTCACAAATACGCCTTACCACGAAGAAAAGCTTGACGTTGGATACTACGATGACGCAAAGCGACGAGCAAAAAAACGCTGCGAGAAGGAAAAACGTAAAGGACAAATGGTTTGAGTCGACTGTCGTGAACGCCACGGCACAATGAAATTTGTTTCCAAGGGAAACGTATCTTGACCAGCCCAGTAATGGTAAACAGGCGACAAATAAGCACACACAGTTCATGGAAAATACCATGATAACGACGCGTAGTTTGGGCATGACCGTGAGGTAAATGGAAGATAGGATGTAAAATCTCTCGTACGAGAGCAAGGCGATGTGAAGAAGAGACGAAAGGCCAAGCCAGGTGCAAAAAAAACCGTAAAGATTACAGCCCAGAGCTCCCGTACTCCACCTTCCGTTAATCGATGCGTGGAGCGCGAGCGGCTTAGCCAGTAGCGACTGAAAGATGTCCGTGAATGCCAGGCTGCATACCAGAATGCTTCTCGACCCTTTCATTAAAAACCGTCGGTTATATATGTGACAAAAACACACAAAACCGTTTAGGACAACGCCAAGAACGAAAAGTACACCGAAAAAGACTGCGTGTACTATACTCACCGCCATGTCTTGTCATTGTCTAATAATACTAAATAATACGAGCAAACAAGGTTCTACGCAAGAATCATAATTGTTTTTATACTTGAGAAAACATAATTAACGAACGCAAAAATAGTCGCAAAATATCTGATAGTATATTCCGCTGTCGTCACCTGCCTTTGATCGGAAGCACATTTCGAAAAGGCCAAATTTAAGATAATGAAAAATCGAAGCTAGTGCTACATTTTGAAAGTTTCAAAAATTAATGAATAAAGCAGTGTTCTTTGTCTCTTTAATTGATCCCAAGATTCGAAACAGTCGCACATCAATAACAAATTATAATCACCTTTGGGAGGACCTTTCGTCAACTTTGTGCATTTACGCTTCATTTCAAAAGCATCTGGCCATAAAACATAATTGTTTTTCCACGCCCCTGTCTTATTTTTGGAGTTTTTCTGATATTGTAAGAGCTGCATGAAAGAAGAACAATCAAAAGAAATGTGCACTGTTGCACATATGTTCTTTGAAGTTTGTACGTTGATTTGCGTCCAGTGCGCAGTATCCATTCCTTACGTAGTCATTGAGAACACCAACGATGACACGTTAACACTACAGTAAACGACAAGAACGCCATTTGAGCAATTGCAAATGCCACAGGCAACTAGCCACAACAGGATATTCGACGTCATCACGAGCTTATCGCGATTCCAGACGATGATAAGCCCTCTAGGTAGGAAATTTTTTCAAAAAGTTGCTAGCCACTTCGTTTGGTATTTGTAGCAGGTCCGCTACACTGCCTCAGAGAGAATTAAACATGCATACTACCTATTGCGCAACATACAACATTCCAAAAAGA